AATTAAACATTGTTATCAGCTCATTCACTGATAATAATAACAATATGTAGTATACATTCAAGGAAAACTAATAAACCACATCACATGTTCAACATCTTTTAACCTTTATCACAACATTTTGAGCTGCTATTAAAGGGACAGCACAGGTGATACTGAACATGATCAGTGAGTGCATTGACATGAGCTCTAAAATCCTGGTTACTAGGAGACTTTTGTTGTATTCTGGTTACGTGTTGCACATATTTCCGGCTTCAGAACTACGGATAATGTCTTATCCCAGTTATAAGAAAACAGAAACCAGGATGCTGTAATGATCATTTACACAGAGATATGGATAAACAGGAGTCCTATGTTCCACGTAAAGACCATTTTCTGACTATGACGAGAACCACAACTCAAAACTGTGATTCTGAAGTGCATGTAGGCCCACTCAATGTGTCTGATTCATGTACTGTTCACTTATACCATGATATTAAGTCATCGTGCATGCTAACTAAGGACCTGCAACTAGAAAAATCAAGACAACAGCTACAATTACTTCATCCTATTGATTACACCTTAAAATGTCAAAATGTCTGCTTCACAACACACTTGAAGGATCAGAGTGTACTCAGTGGCTTTCCTGGCACACTCATCCCGAGTTGTAATTCCTTTTTACCTGATAAGTGTTGTCGAAACTGTCATACATAAACCTGGTGATGAGAGAGGTCTTCCCCACTGCACAGACAAACACAGGAACAGTTCAGTAGTGGTTTAGAAATGTAGCATCACAAGATTTGATCCCGGTCATCAAAGCCCAAACACCCAATTGTACACTTAAATATTCAATTATATAAATTGTAATTTGGTATTATCTGAAAGGAACAAGTCGACATGAGTCAGTGACATCACATGGTGAGTAAACTGCTATTACCACTGATGCAGTGTGCACTACTGAACCCACACGCTGAGCTGGCAATATGGGTGGAGCCACAGAATTTGGAAAATTAAAAGGACTTCACTCCTGACATTTGTTTCATTGATGCAAGACTGTAACTATCACATTGCACAAACATCCCTAAAATACAGCCACGTTTACTAATGTCAGTGTCGCACTCTGTAGCTGTATATAAATGGTGTGGAAAAGGCCGACTGGTCTGGACACCACTGGCCGACGTGGCTCTGCAAGACGCTGCCGCAGGAAGCTAACAGCTACTGAGTTGGGCAGCGCTGTTTTGACAAAAGAAGATAGTCAAACTTAAAGCACTTTACGTATACACGGTCTTCTGCTTGAAGGCAATGATTCATGGCAGACTTATGACAACCGCATTTAGGTTCAAATCGGCAGTGAACGTTAACATCAGCTAACGTGTCTGCTGGTGTATTTCATTCTGGCACAGCTGGCTAACTGCTAGCTAAAAGTACTGTGCTAGCTAGCCAATGCTAGCGAGATGATGCTGATGCATCACGAACTAAGTGAAAGAATAATGGCACTGCCAATTGCTTCAGTTTGGCAGCAAACCTTTCTGGAGACAAGTCGCAAGCTGATGCGACACGTCAATTCAGCTTATTTTTGGTATTTATCGTTAAGACGAACAGCGACTTTCTCAGCTAGCTTACCGTCGGCTAACGGTGGCTACCCAATGACATCATCACCCGAATGAAAAATCGGTAAGTTCATAATTTTTTCATCTTCGTTTCTCTTAGTCACTCTGTTTACACTGAAATAGTAACATCTTGCTTCGTATCTTTACTGGTCCGCGGGATAACTTTGTCCTGCTGGCCCCAAGCTAACGAGAGAAGCTAGTTAGCTAGTCTTGCCACTTTTTACATATCCTTACATCCAACCAAATTGGCACTTGATTTTAGTACACGGTGTCCAGCTTACCACTCTGTTCGCCCAGGAAGACGAGCTTGAACTTTCGTAGGGGGTTGCCAAACTCTCCGCCGCCAGTCGTGGTTGACATTTTGTCAAAATAAACAGCTAACTAGCTGACCAGGCTAATGATGTGATGTCTAGACCGGAGAGCACCAGGCAGTGTATCTTTATCCTGCACTAGCAGCGCTATTGTTTTCTCAAACATACAGCAGTGAAATAGCGCAACCAAGAGGCAGAAGGTCTAAATCAAAAAATGTGAGTCAACGAAAAGCCTTATCGTATTTTTTATATCTATTAACATTTCGTATAAATCGACAAAGGTACAATTTCATAGATTTTGGCGACAGAAAGGAGGAATAAACAGTCCTGCCTGATTGTTGATCAAATTTTAAAGCAAATTATTCAGATATGTTTTTGCAGACCTTTTACTACAGATACACTGCTTGAAAGACTGTCAACCCTTTGGATTGTTCTGTACAACATCACATGTCAAATATTAGACCTGATCAGTTATTTATTGTGGAAAATGGTCCAATGTTACCCATGTGTGAGTGACAGAAGTATGTGAACCTCTTGGATTAACAGGTGAAATTGGAATCAGGTGCTTTCAAGCTATTTGATGACAATCAGGTGTTAGTGGGTACCTTGTTTTATTGTAAAGCAGGGGTGTCGAACATTCAAATGATCAGCTCATCATCAAGCTCTGCAGAAGCCTGATGACGATCCTGATCATTTGAATCAGGTGTGTTGGGAGAGGGAAACATCTAAAACATGCAGGATTGCGGCCCTCGAGGACCAGGATTGGACACCCCTGTTGTAAAGAATGGAGACCTATCAAACTCTGATGCATGTGAGGAAGCATATCATGACAGGGACACATCTGAAGACCTTGGAAAAACGGTTGTTGATGCTTATTGGGCTGGAAAAGATCACAATTACATCTGTAAATAGGTTGGACTCCACTGACAATCAGTCAAACAGATTGTGTTCAAATGGAAGAAATGTAGGATCACTGTCACCCTCCCACAGAGAAGTGGACTAACAAAGATGACTCTATGAACAAGGCGTCTAAGAGTCTGCAAAGTCACAAAGGAAGCTGGGGTTATTTCTAAGCAACTAAAGGCCTCTCTCACAGTGGCCGACGTTACTTTTCATGAGTCTACCATCAGCATCACCATCAACAATGGCAGGGTTGGAAGGAGAAAGCCACTGCTCTCTAAAAAGAAGCATCATGTCTACAAGCCAGAGGGCCAACAGAAAAATGTTTTGTTTGATGGAAGAGACCAAAATAGAACTTTTTGGTTCTATACCAAACAAACAAAAAGACAAATTCTCAACCACTGAAATAATCTACATCAGGTGTGACTAGTACACAGACATTTCTTTGACCAGTGACTATAAAACGCCACCTTAAAATAGAGCTTTATTCAGATGACATGATGCCACAGAGGACAGGAGGAAGACAAGGATGTGCAATTGGCATTCTGAATGCTTGCAGTTGGAGCCTTAGCCAGGCACTTGAATTTTCACCCCCACCATTTGTCTTTTCAGACAGCATGGTACAACAGACAATGCTGCCATGTGATGCTCTGGAAGGATGTGTGTACTAGTATGAATGTGACATTACATGATCCTGTCCACAAAAGTGTCTGCCAATTTCACAAAGTCCTTTAGAAACAGTGAAACAACATTTGACAAGCAGCATCGACAGCCTCATTAACGCTTTGCATCCCACATGTGACTCATGACTGACTTGTGATTCTGGTCAGTGACTCTGGTCGCTCTTGATTTGTCCAATATTATTAACAAAATAATGCGTTCTTTTTTGATTAATGACGTCAGTTATAATTTGGAGATCCTGTGTGTTAGAACAACACATGCTTATCCCCTATGTTAAAGATGAAATATAGAATTTGATCAAATATTACATGCTATGTTTATGTTTTTGTTCCCCAGTATTCAAACCTCATTCCCTCTGTGAAACATGGTGGTGGTACTATCATGGTTTGGACCAGACATGTCTCGCCATCACTGATCAACAGGTGTCAAAAACGTTTACTTGCAGTTATTGCTGCTTAAGAATGTCACAACCACCAGACACTGAAAGCAAGGGGTCACAGACATTTGCCACTAATGAATAGATCATTGTCCCCAATAAATGTGCAGCCTTTTCTTATGGCCAGTATAATAGTTTTGTCTAATTAGTTTAATTAGGTTCTTGTTTGCTATTTGCAGGACTTGTCTGAAAATTTGAAGATGTTTAAGGGCTTATTTATTTAAAAAATATTGTATAGAAGATAGCATAGATAATTCTAAAATATTATCTCTTTCATGCACCACTGTAGGTGAGATCTTGGGTTGGGGGCTTGTTCTGGAAAACTCTTTAAGTAAAAGAAACAGAAGAAGTGGATGAAGATTGGTTCAGTTTGTGAGTCACCATTTTCTGACAAGTGGTTCATGTGAAAATCTCATCAATGTGCAGAAGAAATAAATAATTTTAGATTTCCGAAAGCTCTACGATTCAGAGCAGCGTTTACAAGAAGCCACTGGGTTTACCTTTTAAGAGCAATGTTTGGGAACGTCTTTGAAATACATTAAATACAAATTGTGAAATGTTACTCTCCACAAACAAAATGATTACTGACATAGAAATAAAAGTACATGAATTAGGTCTATGTACAATTCAAGAATTCACTTTTAAAAATGAATAACTGTTATGTTGTGTAAACATTTTTTTTGTAGTAGCACTTTGATTTATTGGCACCATTAAATATAAAATAGAAATGTTGACATAAAGAAACTGAGCAAAATAAAGAAAGAGAAGTCAGTATTTTGGGAAACTGTGTTTATTTAGTCACCTTTTCTATGACACAAGTTGAAGTCTTTTGTGAATATTGCTCCCACAGCTGTACATTCATTCTTCATATCTTATTGCTCTAATGACACAACAATAAAGATTATGGATAAATTCAGCTTTTTGGTATCCATAGCATGTCCAGAAAGCTTTACTCTATGTCTAATGGATTTTGACTAATGTGCAGTACATGTTTAATTCTATACAATGCTATGATGGCATTGAGAGAAATGTCACAGCGTTTGAACTTTTACAGTGATGGAGGTTTTGCAGTGACGTATACATAAAAATGTGTATGTACAGGGGAAATAAGAGCATTGTAGTGACTGCATGACACTTGTGCTTTTCTCCGTTGGTGATGAATTCCTTTGTGTTCTGTGTTCTCTGTCAGAGATGATTTTCCTTGGCTGGTTATCAGTCCGTGGACTCAAGTTTGATGTCCGCCCTGTGCACGAAATGACAACTGAATCCAACATCACACCAAGGTAACTTACTGAACACATTTCATCTAATTTTCTATACTTTCATAACATAGTGCAGACGTCCACTTTTTGAATTTTCATAATATGGGTATTTTATCTACTGCATATAGTGACAGCTATTGCAGAATTTTCAAAATCAGCATACATGCTGATATAAGTAGCTACTTTAGGGTCTTCCAAAAACTTAAATAAATCATTCAAATTGAATATTTCACACAAATGCAACACTGTTAAGAAGGTGAAGCAGTGCACTCCTTCAAGGGGCTGTCACATTTTTGATTCTTTCAGAAGACTTCATAACCTTAAATTATCCAATGCTTGTTTTACTTTCTTGTCAGGTATCATGAACTTGATGTAATAATTTTGTGTTTCGGGATGGTCAAAAGGACAGTAACCCTTGAAGAAGAGAACACTACTAAACTTATTGACTGAGTTTTCCTCACCTGAATTAAAGAGGCATTTAGTCCAATTTGCTGTGGTTCATGAAACACACAATTACACATGAGAACATTATTTTTCAGTGTGCCAAAAAATATCACAGATACATATGTTTTTTTCCACAGAGACTATTTTATACTTACACTTCTGCTCAGTGGACAGCAATGGCATGCACAAAAGGGAAAAACATGACATAAAAGATCATCAGATGAGCAACAGAAAATTCACGACTGTCTGATTTGTTGAAGTGAAATGTCTCAGCAAGCATTTAAATGGCAATGACATGCAAAATGCTGCACTTACCTGCAGGTTTTGGAGACATCAGGGTCAGAGGAAGCTCCACAGTGACATCACTGAAAAACAAAATGTAAATTATATTACATCTTTTTTTTATTATTATTCTTTACCCAAATAGCACACAACAATAAAGGAAGGAAAGTCAATATTTACCTTCCTGTTAGGCCACCCAGCAGGCTTTGGTGAGAGAGAAGCAATAAAAGTAAACCCTTAGTTTGCAAAGATTTTCACAAAATATGAAGATAATAACTGATATTTTCTATTCAGTTAAGCCTTACCCTCCACTGGACACAGACAGATTGACCTTGACTTTATAGGAGATGATGATTCCTTGCATCTCCTTCTCTCCTTGACTCCTGTGAGGAGACAGGAATAGTTTGCCTTTCAGAGCTGGAGGATTTGCTTTAAGACACCATAAGTGGATGACACAATGTGTAGCTGAATGACCGCCACTCATTAAGAGGATAAAAGCCGGTCCTGGCCTCACTGTAAACCCTTTGGTGAAAGACCTAGAATGTCTTACAGGGTTGTGGATGCGAGGTTGGTGTCCTCGTCTTTTAGCCGTCCGTCCACTGCAAGACCCCGCTTCTCTTTGTTGTTGGAGAGCAGGGGGATTATTTGGAGGGTTTTCTCAAATGTAGAGTTGGCATTTACAGTCTCCCTGTGGGCAAAAGTACACAAATGCACAAAGTTATTACTGTCACAACTATCACTGCTATTATTTGTTTTAATTTACTTTTTCTCAAACCATACTTTCAGTTTCAGATAAAATGGAAAAGTAACAGCATTTTTTCTGATTAGTAGCTGTACGGATCAGATGTAAAGACGCTGGGATGTAAGGATAGTTCAATAGGCTGATATTTCAAGTTGTTTAATAAAATCATTAATAAAACTGAATCTATAATGACCCAAATCTTGTTTACTTACGCAAACTCCTGACAGCAGACATCCTTCACGTAAGTGTCAGAGCAGTAGAGGGCCACGTTTGTTAGCTGCTCCACTAAAAATACAAAATAGTTCATGGTAGAGTTATCAGTTAAAAATAATTAATATATATATATATATAAATTTATTGTATTTAAGCTTTAAATGAAACCAAGCTTGAACCATTTTCTTGTTGCCTACCTGAGACTTTGATTTTTTTCACGGTCTTGGTGGTTTCGTTGTTGATTTTTACACTGACGCTGATCGGATCTCCATGGTAATAAATCTAAAAATAAGAATTTATTTAGAATAATTTAGCAAGAAGGTGATATCTATAAAGCCAAAAATACAGTTTTTAACTTTCACATACCTCTTTTTCAAGGGCAGCCTCCAAGTGAACTGGTTTGTCGGACATCATAAACTGCTTGGAGATTTCAGCTTTGGGTCCAGCCTTGTTGTTAGCTGGTGCAAACTGTATTTTACGAATCATCAGACGGCAAGTGTCCCTAAGACCAGATAAAAGACATAGTTAATGAGTCTCTGCACGCCATTGATTCAGCTCAGCACTGCCAGGAGTACACTGATGGTGCGATTTAAATATGAGCAGACATACTTTTTCTCAATCACTTCATCTGCATTGTCAGCTGCATTGGCAAGGAATGCTTTAACCTCAAAGTCCACGCCACAAGCCTACAACAGAACAAAATCCAATTAAATTATTGTTTGTCAAACATGAACGTAATGTATGAGTACAAGTAAAGAAAGAGTAAAACGGTCTGTAGTCGTACTTTGCCAGAATCCCCTGGCCCAGGCTGTAATGACACTGAGCATGGAAGATCTGTTGGCATCTAAAACAAGAAGAAACAAGGCACATTCATAATCATTCAAATTTAAAATGATGACTGGACAATAAAGGTGACATTGTGATCTGTGGTTGTTCAATATAAGATTGAACTGAATGACAAGACTCAGCCGACTTTATGTAAGGAGATTATGCTTCCTCACCTGGAACGAAAAGGGATATCCTTGATCTCCAACTTTCTTAAGGAGGGATTCCATCATCGGTGTTTTAGCTGGGGTTTCTGTAGGTGGATACACCTGAACGCGCTTTATCCAGATGTCTCTCCTGAAGGACAGCCCAATGACATCCAGGTCTTCACTTCCATAGCGGAAGGCACAAGCGAGGTAGACATATACTGCAATGGAAAACGGTAAAGTTGCATATTAGTGTTTGTTATTTAGGTTCATGACTTATAATGTTTATGGTTGACAGGGTACAAAATAAAAGTACCTTTTCTGCCATTAAGGCCAGAAGGGTCCACTTTAACGACCCCATCTGCAAAGAGGAGAATATTAATTTAAAGACCTTACATTTCACAGACCCGCACACACAGTGCGTACATATGTTTGGAGGAAATCGTGCCACGCACCAACTACTTCAACAGAATCCACATGGTCCACAAAGTCTCTCTTCCCCAAGTACAGGGCAATCTGAGAGAAATGGAAAAAAGCAGAGAGGAAAACAGTTCACCAAGGTTACAAGAATTTGGAAGCTATTTCTGGAAGCTGGAACAGCGACATACAAATTGCACTCCTCCCTCTGCCAAAGGGGTGCCCTGTAATGACTATATTGTAGAGGCCACTTACATGTCCATTCCCGCTGGTCTTCTTAAATACTCTGAGGAGAGAAAAAAGGGAAAAGACAATGAATCAGACTCTGCTTCGCATTTAAAACAGCATTATCTGTTCTTAACATGTATTATTAAAAGTGCAAAATGGTCAAGGCCAAGTCCAAACGTGCCTCTCTCCATAGTATGATTGTTTCTGCATAAATGCATAGAAAAAACTCTTTTTTTGTGTCCAAAGTTGTCTTATGTCACGGCACCTACAACATACCATGGTTGTCATTTCTAATTACAGGATAAACTCCCCCTACTCTCCACCCACCACTTCACTCTTCTCTTGTGAGGATGGATTAGTGCTTAAAATGGAAAACAACCTGCTGGCGCAAGTGTTTAATCTGGACGCAAGACATAACTGTGATCTGGTGAGTTCATACATACTGGTTTCATTACATAAAAGGCATATTATTGCAAAACTCAGTAGAGGGTGCACTCATTATAAAGCTCTTTAAATGTGTGTCAAATCTTGTAAATAGTGCAAAAATTTATTGTGGATTATGATATTTTTGTTGCCTGTTTGCACACAACAAAGCGGCTGTGCTCACAGCATAAGCCATGCAAAAACAGGTAATCCCAGGTGGTGTTTGCTTCTTTCAGATGCTTGCCAATTAATCCTGTTAAAGCTTGTCTCGTAAATCTCTCTTCCAAGATCAAATACACACTGTCTGTCATAATAAGGATTTACCCATATTGTAGATAATTTAAAAAAAAAAAAAAAAAAAAACAGTATGTGAAAATTGTAAAATGATTAAAGTGGTAAAGAACCATAGAGGCTGCAGAAATGTTAAATCGTTACATCTAAGCTACACTAATTGGTTCTTGTAAAGGAATTATTACTTTGATCACTGCATGAGCCTCTACTGGTTTGTATCAGTTGAATCAAGAAACTATGTCAGCATTCTATATTAAATATACCAGTGGAGGATCATTCAGAAGTCAATAGAGGAATTGTTGATTTTGACACAGCATGAAGTATTACTGCGACAATGATGCTAAATAGGTTTATCAGATTTCCACCTGTGGTATAATGTTGCCTTACGCTGCTGAAGTAATAGATTTTTGATCTAAACCAGCTACCCTTTACACTTACTTCGACATGTTGATGGCAGGTTACAGATCCAGTCTGCAAATACAAAAGATAAAAAGACTGAAAAACATGTAAACATTTAGTTGATGGTGCCAGTCCAATTCAAGAGACTCATCATCAGTGCATGACTGTTGTAGCAAGAGGACAGTAATGATTCAGTTCAGTTCAGTTTTACTTATGTAGTGCCAAATCACAACAGAAGTCATCTCGAGACTCTTTACATACTAAGGTGAAAACTTTACAATATTATAGACATTCATCCAACAATTTATGAATACGTTCTTAGTAAAAGGAAAACCTTTGTGATTTTAGAACTAAAATTGTCAAGACAGCATTCCTCAAGCTTAACGGTGATGGTATAAACAGTGACAAAAGTGGTTTAAGTATACACTCCTGTGAAGTAACAACAATAGGAAATCTTCACTAAGTGCTGCTTCTCTAGTGTGCAGTAATTCAAAATTTTGAGATGTTAACCTCTTGATCTATTTCTAATATACAGTATGTCGGCCAGTAAGAGAATCAGCTCACTTACCGTGTCCTCAGTTCTGTTTGTGACTCTTCTCTGCCGTCTTCTCTAATCCTTCACTGTTGTTCGTGTGAGTGACTCCCTTTGCTTTTATACCTTGACCTCCCAACCTAGGAACCCTCCCTTCAGCTTACCCGAGGGAAGGATATTTCAGGGAAAATCTGATTAATTCATTATAACACTACTGTTTTGGTCCACAGCGTGGGTAAAAATAATGTTGTGTATGTGACTTTGAAATCATAAGCTCAAAGCTATAGGTAGTTTCAGTCTCAGAGATGGTACAGATATGGACTTCAAAAACAGAGCATGTCCTGGAGTAAAACTATATTGGTCACTGTGCTATTTTTGTATCAATCCCAGATTTTCGAAAATACATGTTTGCATGTCTAATTTTATGCGCTTCACACTTTGCACATGCTCATCCTTTGTGATAATTTGGAACATAGGCTGTAATCATGAATGGCAGCTGCTGAGAAATGCTTGCGTTGTTTGACCAGCGTTTAGATTGAATGCCATGACTGAACAGTAGACAGCTTGTTATCAGTTTCTATATTACTTTAATTATATGTCTAAAAAAGATTTTTCTTTTGAAAGCATAATTTACAAATAACTGGGGCAAATGACAATCTCTCCACCGACTTCCATCTTTTTTTTAGTGTCTGTGATTGTAAATCCCTGGTAAAATATTTATTTTTGGTAGGTCATTTGTATTTTGTAGTTACAAAGTAGTTGTATAAATTCTTTCCTCCAAAGTGTGAGATAGTTTTATAATACTCTTAGGACCTTGCTGACTTTAAAAGATTGTCTTGTGAATGGGCTCGGTAAATGTTCAAGGATTTCCTTTCTTATAGATTAGACTGGAGTAGAGTAGCATTAGTTGGATTTTAGTTGTTATGGTAGCCAGGACAACAGATGGCTTCTCTACCAAGCCTTGAACAATCTGTGCTTGTGGAAGGTTTACAGAAAGCTAAGTGACCTGCTGACTTACTACTGTCCAAACAACACCGTACAACTGGCATCAGTCTCATTACAAAATCAATTTTCCAAATCAGGTCTATCATTTATGGTTTTGAGTAGGGTTGTTTTAGCAAGTTAATGTCTGATTCGTGCCAATTTATAGGCCTGTTGGGACTGTAAAAGCTGAACCTGGTTTTGCCATGAACTCAGAAGTGTTATTCATTGTCTTTTTGAGAGAAATGCAACAATGCAATACAACTTATATAAACTTAAACTACCCACCTTTTGAATTTTGACCTTTTCCCAGGTTGGTAGGCCATTTTGTTTTTCAACGCCTTTCTTCCATAAAGGTTGGAATATTTGGCTTCATGAGTTGAAATGAATCTTAGTTTCTTCACTGTGAAGCTGGACTGTTAGAATGGTTGCACAAGTTTGACCTGGCTTTCAGGTCTTTCAAAAAATCCACATTTACTTCCATGACCCTTAGAAGATCCTGCTTCTCAATTAGCTCACAGCTATATAGGTAAAGCCATTGATTAATGAGGGAGCTAGATGATTGGTTTTGTGGATAGATTGTTGCAACTTGGCAGTCAAAGATAATGAATGAGATTGGTGGATGTTTGTGTTTACCTCCCTTAAACTGTCATATGGGGACAAGGTGTGAGATCTCTTTAAAGCTGCCGTTAAAGGCAGCACGAGTGTGAATTCCACTGCCAAATCATCCATAAGGTGTTTAAGCTCTTTAATAGGTTGAAACTCTCGACATTGTACTCTACAATAACTAAAGACCATCTTGTAATGGGATCTCGCCAGCCTGTCAGAATGTTGACGTTTTGACTCATGAGTACTCGGCAAGTACTTGGACCACACCGAACTTCAAACTCGGCCCTCGTTTTGATCGGAACTACATACCTGTAAAGTTTCTTGACTTCATCTTGCACAGTTGTGACACTGTCATGTTATCAAAATCTGTACACAGACAGACATAGCTATAACATTAAAACCACTGATGGGTGAAGTGAATACAACAATGATCTCATTGCAGTGGGACCTGTGAAGTTGTGGGATATACTAGGCAGCAAGTGAACAGTCAGTTCTTGAAGGTAATGTGCTGGAAGCAGGAAAAATGGTCAGTGATCTGAGTGACTTTGACAAAGGCCAAGTTGTGATGGCTAGATTACTGGGACAGAGCATCTCCAAAATGGGAGGCCTTGTGGGTTTTTCCCCAGTTTACAGTGGTTAGTACAAGGAAGGACAACTGGTGAACTAGCAGGAGTACCCAAGGCTCATGGATGCTCATGGGGAGCAAAGGCCGACAACACCTGAAACCTTAATGCTGGCTACGAAAAGAATACACAGTGCATTGCAGCTTGATCTGTATGGAGCAGACAGGTCTCTGTCGACCCCTGTCATCTACTGAAAGTGCCTACTGTACAATGTTTTAGAACTGGATCGTGAAGCAATGAAATCAAATGTGCTGGTGTGATGAATCCTGTTTAATTTTACATTAAATGTGGATAGTCAGGTGCCTGCTTGTCCTTTACCCAGGGAAGAGATGGCAGCAAGATGCTCTGCAGGAAGAGAGCAAGGCGGTAGAGACAGTGTTATGCTCTTGTCAATGGTTTGCAGGGAAACTTTGGGTCTGGGTTTTCATGCGGCTATTACTTTGACATGTATTACCTACCTAAGCATTGTTTCAGACCATGTACGGTCGTTGGCACCCGTATTCCCTGATGGCAGTGGCCTCTTTTACCTGGAAAATGCTCCCCGTCGCATTGCAAACATTGTTCAGAAATAGTTTGAGGATCACAACAAAGAGATCAAGGTGTCCATCTTTCCCAGATCTCAATCCGATTGAGCATCTGTGATGTGTTGGAAAAACAAGTCTGATCCACGACAGCCCCACCTAACAGCTTACAAGATTTAAAAGAATCTATTGCAAACGTCTTGGTCGTTCATACCAGAGGACACCTTCAAAGGTCTTGTAGAGTTCATACATGATGGGTCAGAGCAGCTTCGGTGATGTGAGGAGACAACATTGTTTTGGCTGATTGTTGTATGAACCCTTGTCAATATACTCCAAACCACTTTTGTGGTAGTTCCTTCCACAGTGGTTGTCTCTAGGACTACATTTTGTCCTGATGGCATCCACACTCACACAGACTCCCAAAATGAATACAATATCACCTATGCTAGCACAGCTGGTAAACGTACATCTTCACTTTTGCATTTATGACCCTAATATTCACGCCAGTGTAATAAAATCTTGAACCGCTGAGGAACTGTGTAAAGCGAGCTTTAGACCCCTCCAGTATAAAAGAAGTCATTGTAATAAATTAAGCAAATAATTACTGTGTAAGAGTAGAGATGTGGGAGCAGTGGCTTCTCTGTGTGGAGCATGTGGCTTTTATGTAACACTTGATAACTGGCAGTGCTCAGACTTTTCCTTTGAATCCCCACACTTCTGTTACCTTATCTGTAAAAAGAAACAAAATAATCTGAAAATCCACTTTAAAGATAATTAATTTTGTGGTGAATATTTAAATGTTGTTTGTGTACGGGTTTGTAATGTTCCAGAGTTTTAACTCCAATATGACACTGAATATGTTAAGATACACAAGCTACAATTGTATTTTGTATTTTTTTAATTAACACATTAACATTGTCCAAGATGAAGTCACTAAATACAATCTTACATAATGTTCCGGTCTCCTCACTCACTGATTCTTTGAGTTTTCTTTTTCCAGTTTTGACTGAGGGAGGTTACGTACAGTCACATAAGCCCCTTACAGTTAAGCTGGTGCCATTTAAGGAAAAGCCTTTATATAGAAAGTATTGTCTCTCGAAGGGACTGCTGACTAGTCCGAGTGCATTACGGCACCACGGTATTACCACTTCTTAACCACCCGGTCTTCTCTGTGTTGCTAACTTGGGGCAGTTATGTAGTGTTTGTTGTTAAAAGATACGACATCACTGCAGGTGCTGAGCCTATTAGTGTAGCCTCTAACTGATAGTAAACAGTGTGAAGTGCTGTCCATATAGCCTTCAACCAAAATTTGTTGGTGTACATGTGGTTAACTTTGCTGATTTGAAATACTTGTGCACTTGACACGTACACTGAATGTGAACTAAGACTAAATGTCAGGCAGATACAGCAACGTTACCTGTTGACCTTCTGTCACTGGTCACTCCCAGTGACCTTTGGCCTACTGTATTTATAGCGGCCGCTGCTGACAATCTCAGCTCGTACTAAACAGTTGTTGATTCCGTCAGTTCGAAAGATAGCTTTTATGAACACAGCACTTACTCACCACACATTTCTAATTCATGCTGTGGCTTACTTAGGAACCGTTTTACAACTATAATTAGCTCTACTTGATGTTTTGAAAGTCATTTACTGTTTAAAGCAGGTTTATTCTCTTGTGAGTATGCTTTTGGTAAGACTGAATATGTTTAATCAGAATCATTTCCTTTACTTAGTTATTTGCTTTATTATGCTACAAAATATACCGCATGTTGTATCTCATATAATCAATGCCTGCCCTGCTGCCTTGTCTGAATTATAAGATATAGAGTAATGTATTTCCATTATGTATTTGGAAGTCCTGTTAGATATCAGGAAAACTACAGCTCCTCAAGCATCACTTTCATCTAGATAAGGGGGTCTGGCTCTAGTTAAGCAAAACAATACTAATTAAATTCAAAAGCTGATCTGCCTGCCGGCATGGAAATTGAAAGCGAGCAGGTGTTCTTGGAGTACATCTTGCTGTCTCGGTCTGTGTCAGTATCCCATCCAATCCATTGCTTGCATAAGCAGAGCATTTGGTAGAACTGGATAAAGTAACAGACACGGCAGGAACCAAATCAGCTCCACACAACAACTGCTGTTTCTGAGAATGATAATTGTGATCAACGGAAAACTGTCTGTAGGGGATTTTGCAGGGATGATATTGAAATTTTGTGGTTTTGGTAAATATTACCAGGTCTGTATCAGTGATGTATTGTCTCCACAGTTAGTGTTCTGATGAAGAGTTTAGATAATAAACAGGTGGGCGACAAATTGATGTAGCATGTGTTAATAGTATGATTGGCCTCCATGCGCAGACAGAACTGAACTTCAGTGCGCCTCGGCATTGATTCTTCACGTCTGAAACTGTACTGGAGGGATGAACACTGGTCTTACAAAATATATTTCTTCATGTGGTGGCTTTAAGATGGTGGTGGGGAGTGCTGAATCCAACATGTCTGTCCAAAATCATCAATAGGTGTTAAATCAGGTTGAGCTCTATTGACTGGAAAGGCCATAACATATGATTCACATCACTTTTATACTCACCAAACCCTTCAGTAACCCATTGTGCCCTGTGGATGTGAGCATTTTCATCCTGGAAGGGAGCCTTCCATCAGAATAGAAATGTTTCAGCACAGGATAAAGACAATCACTTAGAACAAGTTTGTATTGATTTGTAGTGACTCTTCCGTCTAAAGGGACAAGTGAACCCAAATGCCCCCATAGCATAACAGGGCCGCCAGATCCCCTCGCTGTAGGGGATAAGAGCTCATGTGTTTCCTTTGATTTGTCACCCATCTGTATTTTTCTGTTGCTCTCCTCACCTGTTGGCTGATTGGTGCAACACTGAAATATATAAGAACTAGATGGATTGCTATACATTTTTCTACAAACATTTATGGTTTCAAGACATTCTCAAAACATTCCCACTGACATTAGTGATCCTTGAGTTTTTCTCTAGCAGCACCTATGTACTATATATATCCATTGTCCCCAGAGGATGAACCATCTAAAGACCCTGCTGATGTTTTTATCCATAAAACATCACAAAAGCTGTTGGATGGATCATCAAAAATATTGTATACAGTCATTTGTCCATCCATCCATCCATTATCTATACACCGCTTTATCCTCACTAGGGTCGTGGGGGGGCTGGAGCCTTGTAGTTCCCATATAATGAGTCCCACTGACTTTGGTGACCCAGTGACATTTGGATGGGGGATATTTGGGATTTGGGGCTGCGAGGTGGATCGGTGGTTAGCACTGTTGCCTCACAACCAGAGGGTCACTGGTTCGCGTCCCTGTGGGGACACCGGGATCTTTCTGCGTGGAGTTTGCATGTTCTCCCTTTGCAGCATGGGTTAGGGTTAGGGTTCTCTCCGGGTTCTCCGGCTTCCTCCCACAAGTCCAAAAACATGTTGAGGTTAATTGGTCATTCTAAATTGTACATAGGTATGAACGTGAGTGTGCTTGGTCTCTATATGTAGCCCTGTGATAGACTGGTGACCTGTCCAGGGTGTCCCCTGCCTTTGCCCTACGTCAGCTAGATAGATAGACTCCAGCCCCCCCGCAACCCTAGTGAGGATTAAGCGGTGTATAGATAATGGATGGATGGATGGATGGATGGATATTTGGGATTTTGAGAAAAATGTCTCAACAATCATTGGACAGATTTCCGTGAAATTTGATGCACCCGTTCATGTTTTCGTCAGGATTCATAAGAACTTTGGTTTTAGCCAAAATGTTCATCTTGAGCCACCATCAGCTTAAAATATACAGATGTTAAATATTGAAAATACAGGCAAAACCTACGATACTCCCCTCAATCTCAGTTGTACTGTGGAAATAGTTATAATCAGCACATGTTGCAAGATAATACACCAAACTAAGATTGGCGTCATATTAATCCCTGTTAAACATCAGCTACTAAATCAACATGTTTTCATCATCTTTATGGGCATGTTAGCATTCCGGTGTTTAACTCAGTGTCACTGTGCAGCTTCAGCGGTATGATGTTGTATATTGTTCTACTATTTGCAGTATGAAGCACATAGCAATACTAAGAAGAGCTGATTATAGATTGAGGGTTAAGAGGATGCATCATCAAATTGGGATGGACTTGCGTCTATTTATTTTATGGGGTCTGTGGTTGGTGGTCGGCACATTTCTGCTGAGTAGTGAGAGGCAAAACAGTAAATGTGGGACTGAACAGCTTCCCACAGAGTTATACGCTCCAGCTAATGGAGAGGGAGGGACGAAGGAAGGCTGAATAATGGGCGATGTTCTAGTAGGGCAAAAATAAGAAAGTTAGGGATGATCATAACCATATGGAGGCTGTGTTTTGCTGAGAGGGAAGGAGTGAGCAAGAGAGGAAGGGCAGTGAAGGGAGGGGACAGGAGAAAGAAAGGGTAAAAGTAAACATGCCTGACAGAAGATGAAACATCTGAAGATGAAGATTGTTAAAAAATAAGGAAGAAACTGAGGATCAGCCAAGCAGCTCACCTGAAAGTGAAGGGCTGTGGTTTGTGTTTAAAATGTGAGGAAAGAGACAGAGCAGGGGCAGCGGGAGGAAGAAGAAAACAGACAGGAGGGAGAAAAAGGAAGTAGTTTGCTGTTTCACACACTGGTGGTGAAGTTGAGCCCCTCACAAGAATTCTCCTGGCTATGTCCGCCATCTGGAATGTCGAGTCACTTCCTCTGTCTGCCCTGCGCTCTAACGGGGTTGTCCTCTGCCTTTCTGCTCCCTCCCTCTGCTCTGACAGCACTCTGAAGAACCACTGGAGACCACGCCAAGGCAGACGGGACTCTTCTGACAAGACACACACGCCAGCACACAAACATCCAGCATGAAAGCAAGACCCCTGGAGTAGCCTGCATCCAAGCAGACTTAGTCTAAATGGAATCTGGGCTTGGAAGAAGCAAAGACAACTGCAGTCATCAGCTGAACTTTTTGGAGGGTGTTTCTTTTCCCTTATATGGCAACAGAGCTGGGAAATCATTTGAATTAGTCTGGTTTCTGTTGCATGCCTGTCTGGTTTTAGTGCTGACTGAGTTCCATCTGGTATGTTTCTGCCTCTGCTGTGTGCGTGTGTGACTGAGTAGGCGCTGTGTGTGCGGCTTGATTTGTTTGTTTTGCCATTCTTGGTTCTTCTTTTCCTGTTGTTTGCATGTGGGGCTTTTGTTTTGGGACAAGAGGAGGGCTTGTGTTTGTGGTTAAGCTAGAGGCACCGTCATTGCCTCAGGGGTGGCTGCTTCATTCAGGCTCTGCACCTCTCGCTGTTTTTTTTTTCTTCTACCTCTATCTGTCTCCCTGCCTCGCACAGCTGTGGTGGTCTGTGTTTGTTGGAGCAACACACCCACCTGGGCGCAGCAACTTGCCACCAAAAGCTGCAACTAGATCTCTCTACACGAGGATATTACCAGAAAGGTGGACCGGAGCTCCTGCTGAGGATAAGGTTGTTGTCGGATTGGACTACCATAACAATTATCTGGATGTTTCCTCTTTCTTCATTCAGCACAACAGCATGTGCGACCCAGAAGCAACCAGCAAGGACCCAGGAAGTGCTAGCTGATAGGTGTGTCTGTCTGACAATTTGGTCATGAAGGAAATCACTAAAGCACACTTCAAACACTAAAGTACACCACTCAGCACACTGTGCTGCTGATGACTTGAGCGACAGACCTCCGGTGTGATGCCATCTGAGCAGGCCTGACACAATACAATTGCATTAAACTTGTGTCACGTCAAGTTCATCGCCTCATGTGGATTATTTTCATGAACATATCTCTCAAAATTGATTGCCATGGCTTCAACAGCATGGTACCATCGTGACATCAGCCGTGTGCATGCAGAGGACTTGTTGGCACGAGCAGGGAGGGATGGCAGCTACCTAGTGAGAGACAGTGAGTCTGTGCCAGGAGCCTATGCATTGTGCCTGCTGTGAGTACACACACACACACACACACACACACACACACACACAGACTCACCTACTTACAAAATAGGCAGTTTTACCCATCACGATCAAACACATTTACCTATAGGAGGTATTTATTATTTAATGTGATGGTACGTTCTATATGAGCACCTGCCAGCATTCGTACATGTGAAGCTCTTGTCGTACTGCAAGAAAATGTGACCCTCTGCACTCACTGTAAGTCCGTTAATAAATGTTACTACCTACATCCCATTTTATATTTCAGCTACTCAAATTCTTGGTGACTGATTTAGTCAGAATGTGGTGAAGAGGTAAATATGTAGGTGAGAGACACACAGAGAACCTCTTTGGGTGAAACCATAAGTAATTCATTTATCTTGTGACACATTTAGATTTTGACTTATAGGATTGGTGACTATTTATAAATTAATTTCCATAGAATGTCCCCATTTGTAAATTGATTCAGCAGCTTCACTTACCCTGTCATATCCATCACTTTCACCATCATCTGCCAGCAGGCAGCAAAGGAACTGCTGTGGCTAAAAGTGGTGCGTACAGGCTGGGCCAGCTTCACACATACACCCTCTCCAGACTAGTCAGGCTGTTCTGTCCATGTAAAGTTCATCTCAGCCAGTCAAGCCCGGGCTTATGACTCCCTGTTTCCCCACTTACCCCTCTTTCTTCCCTGGGGCCCCTGAAAGTGGGCGGGAGCCTGAGCAACCGCACTACGCTGACTGCTCATCAGCCCAAGCCAGATACATTCCTGAAAGCTGAGCCTGGCCGCTCACAGTGCTCCTTCTTTCCCTTCATTCTTTTCTCAGTATCTCATCCCCCCCTTTTAGTTTATTACATTTGTCCCCAATGTTGATTTGTATTTCGTACTTCTGTTATAATGCGCTTTGACTATGTAATATACAGTAGCCGATTGATTATAACTGCCGCTCATCTTCCCGTACTGCCTGAAACAAATTCCTCTGAAGTGACTGGTGGCGATGATGATCTAAGTATCTCCCACACATCCTATAACTACAACAAGCTGCATCATTAATGACCTCTTAAACAACAGATGCCTTGTTAAGAAAGTCTAACTACAGCTTGGGATGTGGTTCTTCTTTAAACAATAAATCCAAGTACATTTCCCTTTGAATATTTACATGCCTTGTCGCGATTTTCATTGGCAATAATAACAGTTATTTTTCTTTTCCAAAGGTTCCAACGTCATGTTCACACTTATCGTATTCTTCCTGACGCAGATGGTCTTCTAGCAGTTCAGGTAAGCGTACAACGCCCCATGACACCGAATGCTCTGCCTGAAAAAGGAGTAAAAGAAAAACACAATAAACATCTGAAGCCTTGGCACCCACTGTACACCCAGGGAGAAACACAGCTGGTCAGATGGAGTTAGAGGGATCAAACAATGGTTTGTTATTGCCTGTTGTGTTGGAGAACAGGAACATGTTTGTGTTTCCTCTCTGTACAGACTCTGTTACGACTGCAGTAACTTTGTTGTTTGAATGGCATCTCTGCCATGTGGCTGCATGCTCACAGCATGAGCTCAGCAGCACAGAGGAGAAATTGTTTTTATGTCTCAGAGATTCCTACTCAACCCACACACTAGGTCATTGACCAATGGGTGTGCTTATTTGTTATGTGTTTGTATGGGTCTATTTGTATTATATGTAACGGGTCTGTTGGATGTGGCAGACTGTAGCCATGCTCTGAGCGGGGGGCCATTTAGTCAGCAAATGACCTAATTATTAGACTATAAAAACACTCACCAGCACAAGGGTTGCAACCACAAAAGTGCACACATGCACACTTAGTAGGTAAACGAAAGCGAGAGAGTGTGAGACATAAAGTTTTTCGAGTCTGAAGCCACAAATCATCTGACTTTTTAAAACTATGTCTGCATATTGAAATCCAATGACGAGTTTAATAACGATTGTCTGGCAGTCGCTTTTAAGCCTTTGACTTGGAAAAATCCTTTGCTTTCCAATGAAGCTCCTTAAACTCTGTTGCTATTTCAGTTGTTTTTCCACTGCCATCAGTATAAACCTCCAGTACGTATTTTCCCTCCCTGGATTTGCTCCACTAACTCACTAGTCGCATGCTTGCCTCTTTGTTTTTCCAAGAGGGCCATGGAGATATTTTGAGGCCAATTTTGTCTTTCACTGTCTCTTATTCCTTTTCATTTCTTTTTAATTGCTTTTCAAGAGATCCTTGTGGTATAAAAAATACTATTTGAAGAGTTCCTGGCAAAACAGACAGGTAGTTAAAGCCAAAAAAAATGGGTTCTTTGACCGCAGAATCAAAACAAAAACTTCTAAAAAGAGGGCACAGGAAAAGAGCTCTCTCGGTGTTGTGGTCTAATGTGTACCATGTTGATTTTGAGCATGTGAATAGTAGTAATGTGAGTATGGCTGCCAGTACCTTTATTAAATCTTAATTGTTGCCCGGTACTGCTTTGAGTTCCATTGAAGTGTAGCCGTGCAGGGTTTTGTGGAAAGTTTGAGAGAAGGTTTTCTTGTGCTTGTGGCTTACATGTGTGAATATATGCATGTAGAAAGTCCTTTGCCAAATGACATTTGTTTTTTTCGGGGAGGGGGGCGGGGGGGCATTTTAGACTGACGGGGAATGTTGGACCACACTGAAACATGACGGCCAAGTGCTGCTGTAGCCAGGAAGTAGCTGTCAGTGATGTCACCTCTCCTTTGGGGCACAGGCCACAGCTTTTCTAAACCCCTCTGGGATGCCTTTTATCACAGCACATCATCTGTGTGTGCCTTTTCTGTCATGCAAATAAATACTTCTGCTTTGTTCAACCAAGCAAGATTTCGGAAGAAGGGTGGGGGTTCTGTGTGAAACAACCACTAACAAGCAGATAAAGTTCACACGTTAAAATTTGGCATCTATTTTATTTCAAGTCAGATTGAATACACAGATTACAATGCAAAGTTTTCTCAAAGTATTTTAAAAGAACCTTATGTTTTAGAGTTTTTGTCGTCTTTGTTTCATGACAAGTTTAATAATGAGGCAATAGATTGCAGTAGTTTATATTTTGTTCTTCGTGGAACTGATTGAGGTCTTTTTACTGTAGACCACTGCATCCTGTTTGAATACACACATAACTTTCTAGATATGCATTTGGTATCACTGCTACCTGTTCTTCTGCACAGCCTTTTAAAACTATAATATGTTGTCAAAACAAATTGAAGAACTTGATTGAGGTCATGCAGTTTTATACAGGATGTACAATAAATGTGGTGCTGTTGTGTTTGTGTGTTTCACAGACAACACAGGGGGTGCAGGTGAATTGTTTTCGGACACTGGAGGACTTGGTGTTGGGATACCAGCACCCCCACAAAGGCCTGGTCACTCCTCTGCTCTACCCCGTTCCCCGTGATACAGACACCGGGGACGAGAGCTCAGGTGGGCCATCAAAATACTAACGTCTTTTGTACAATATACTAGTTCTAGTCCAAATTCTGAAATCTGTGCCTATAAACATTTGTAATGACGTCACTAAGAACCTCCTCTTAGTGCTGCAGTATTCTTTGCTTGTTATTAATGTTGAATAATACGTTCTGTGTATGCACAGATGATGAGAAGCCACCTCCTGCTCCAGCCTCTGTCAGCACAGTGCCTTTCACAGGACTACCAGCAAAACCAGCCCCTCATGCCCTAATCCTGGATAAGTTGCAAGAGCTCAACACATCCAGGTATATTTAGTCAGCCTGATAAGAGGATAAATCAGAGTTGTTTTCTGAAAAGTGCCTGTCAATGCTGCATAATCTGTGTTTCTAACTGCATATTTTGCATTACAATATCAGATAGATTTATACCTGCAACTGTTTGTCAGCTTGTAGCTTGTAATTGACCTGAACTATAAACTGAGTGTCACATTAATATGTTCACTACTAGACAACATTTTTCATCGACATATGCACCTGTTTTCAATCAAGCGTGGCAACCACTTGTGAAACACTGTATCTGCTTCTGACTCTCTCTGTTTTTTTTTTTGTCCTACTATTAAACAGCATTCATTTGCTGTTTTATGCTGAACTTCACACACAACACTTCCTGTTCTTCGTGTACTCTGTTTGTCACAAGTTTCAAAGGGAATTTTTGCTAGTAGATCAAACAACAATGTCCAGAGAACAGAAATAAGTTACTTTATAGCATATTATAATCTGAATTCTACCTACTATATTTGTTAACAGTACTGCGGGTGAGGTGATTGGCCTGCTCAACGACTACCTCTTCAGTGAACTGCCTCTCGACATTGAGAATGTGCATAAAGGGGCAACAACTCTAAGTCACCTCAAGCGTACTCTGGGTGCTGCCTGCCAAGGTCTAAACAGGTTAGCATTCTCTTATTGCATCCAATTTAAATAATGAAATTAAAGTGACCAGAAGGAGCAGTTCACAGTGTGTGGACTGGTAGGTTTTGGAGTTTGCTACATGCACGACACTGTATATGTCAGATCATTTAAAATTACATTTTGAATTTCCAAAAAGCATTTTGGAAAAATGAACTTATTTGTGCAATTAAACTCAATTTGTGCATTGATCGGTTCTGCAGTGAGATTGATCTGACTCTTTCAAGTCTGGAAACTCTGGCCAAAGTCTTTGACCATCCAAGCTGCTCTTTAACACCCAACAAGGCACAGGTGCAGTAAAACCCAAGTGTTCATAAGAAAAATAACAACTTTTAGTGTTTCTCAAATGACAACTCATGCATATAAACTCATTGTGGCCTTTGTCTTGTGTTTGGAACAAGGGTCCAGAGATGGAGATGGACAGCCTGTTGTGTAAGATTTCAGCCTTGGTCAGCCTCCTGTCTTCGTTGGAGAAAAAGGTTTGTTTATGTTACTGCTGCTGCACTAAAGATTTATGACAGTAACTACATTTTGGAGCAGTATTTATTCTTGTACAAACTACTTAGCAGCACTTGCCGTCAGTCTATATGTTTAAATTTCTTCAGCACTACTGTTTCTATAGTGCTGTTAGGGCACTGATAAGTTCCACTTTTTATCTTTGGTCTAGACAGTTTTCAGCTATTGACAGCTGATGACAGTTTTTACAATGACAAATAAAAAACATCTAATTTGTGATGGACAGTACTACATAACAATATTTCAGTAATTGTTACACTAACTTAATATTGTGTACAATTTAAACTGAAATGTTTGCATTGAGGGCTGCAAGGTGGCTCAGTGTTTAGCACTGTCAAATTGCAGCTAAAAGATCCCTGGTTTGCGGTCCGGTTCGGAGGCCTGGGATCTTTCGGTGTGGAGTTTGCATGTTCTCCCCATGCAGCGTGGGTTCTCTCCGGGTTCTCCGGCTTTCTACCACAGTCAAAAAACATGTTGAGGCTAATCGGTGATTCTAAATTGTCCGTAGGTGTGTATGTGAGTGTGCTTGGTTGGTTGTCTCTCTGTGTAGACCTGTAATAGACTGTCCAGGGTGTCCCCTGCCTTCGCCCTGAGTCAGCTGGGATAGATTCCAGCCCCCCTGCGACCCTAATGAGGATTAAGCGGTGTGTAGATAATGGATGGATGGATGTTTGTGTTGAATGATTACAACAAAATTCAACTCATAGCAAATTCATTATATTAGCTTGATAGCTTAATTTTTGTGCACCTTAAGTTTAGGATTTTAAGTCCTTAAAAACTTTAAAACTAGTGTTTATGCTACTTGGTATTAAGTACTTGGTTAATTAAATTATCACTAGTTGTAGCGAAAAGACTCATACTAACTCAGTATAACTTGTTGGTTGAATATGAGTTAGTTTGAAGTTGTCATAACTCAAAAAGGTGAAAACTGTTGTGTTATTTTTTTGTTGTTGACTGTGGTTACATTGTAACGCTGCAATATCCTCTGTCCATAAAGGTACTGAAAGCATTACAAGATGCTGTGACCAATCACAATCTGGCAGTGCAGCAGAGCCCCCCTCCTCCTGAACCTGCTCCCACCAGTGTAACTCCTTTCAAGAACAATGCCAGACAGCTGCCTGTCCACTCCTTTCAGGTAAATCAGGATAAAAAAAAAAAAAGGCACATCATTTTACAGCCAATACAGTTCTGTAACTAGTCTGTTGTTCAGTTGCATTTTATCTTTTAAAAAGACTACACAAAGCACCACAAGTCACCAGATTTCTGACTCTGTAAATGTTATTTTTGTTTGTGTGAGCAGGTGAAGATGGTGAGGTATGGCAGACAAACTGTTTCTGTGGATGTGGACACAGGGGTGCTGCTTTTTGACAGGAAGGCTGGTTCATTTGGTATAGAGAGGGTCTCACATGACAGAAGTAAGAAAATACTTTACTTTATAGAGTATGTAGCATTTCTCCTGCTTGCACATTTTCTTTTTCTGTATTTATATATACATAGAGAGAGAGAGAGAGAGAGAGAGAGAATGTGTATGTATATGTGTGTCTGTTAGCATGTTTCCTGTCTATCAGTCCTTCAGATTGTCAAGTTCCAAAGCAGTCCAGCTAAAGTACGCATGGTGGTTGACAGCCACCACAACACACCGCGGGAGATGACGTTTGAGAGTGCACGGGTAAGGCAAGATAGTAGCTTTTATTAATTACTGAAATCTCCTGTTTCTCTTACCTCGATTCACTGTCATCTCTTTCAGAAATGCGACTCCTTCTGCCAGCTGCTCCAGCTGATGAAAACCAGGCACTCTCAGCGGAGTGAACCTGACGTGGTCTCTGTGTTTGTTGGCACCTGGAATATGGGTAACCATGAATGTGGAGATGGAATGATTCACCGTCGTGCCACAGAAAACACGATTTTTCAGGATTTTATTTTTTGCTTTGACTGATTTTGTTGTGTTTTGTGCACACAGGTGGTTCCCCTCCACCTCGAAGCCTGCAGACGTGGGTGACCTGCTGTGGTTTGGGACACACCCCCGATGAGTCGACAGCTTTGCTGCCTCATGACATCTACGCTTTGGGGACGCAGGAGAACCCTCAGGGGGAGAGAGAGTGGACAGAACATATCAAAGCAACCCTTCGCAGCTATACTCACACTGACTTCAAACAAGTAATTCTTAGTTTTCCATCTTTATTCAACTTTAATATGTGAATTTTAGGTCTAAATGGGGAGCCACATTTTTTAAAGCTAGGGTAACATTTCACAAAATTTACAAGCCTAGAGTACTTTAAATGAGTAACTCACTAATTTTATCCGTCAAAGGCTGTTTACGGGACTAGAGGAACACCGCAACATGTAAAAATAGTTTCTAATACTTTGTAGCTCTAGAGGGAGCTCTACAGTCTGATAAAGGGTCATATTTGGGTTTTGAGACATTTTTTTCCAGGCTTCATTGTGAGTCTGACAGTATTATAGGAGTGTAATGCAAAATCACCATGGTATTCTTTTGTTAGAACAAGTGAAGTAAAGGTTTGCTCATAGAATACATTGTACTATCAGTGGGATTTCATTTCAAAATCAGATATTTAGAATTTGTACCAAACATCGCTTGTTTTGCACAAATATTAACAATTTCACGAACTTTTTTCACAATTTTAAAAATTTTTTATGATAATTTTACACATGATAAATATGCAAACTAAAAACACACAAAATGTTAGCATACGTAACAGATACCTAGTGACTGTTTATCTGCAGTGATTTGACACATGCCTCCAAGCCAAGATGTATATTGTCAAAACAGTTATTCATCTTCTAAATATGGTTCAAAATCTCACTATCTCAAATCACAGAAATCATCAGTGTTCATACTGTTTAAAACATTCCCCCTGCTTTCTTTACAAAGGTTATATTTATATCATGTAATATTATGCAATCTGATGTTTCTGCTCTGTCCTGTCATCCAAAATACAAAGCTGTATCTACTATAATGTTTCTGCTTTTTAGCACAATGTGTAACAATATTTGTGTAATTTGTTGGATGCGTTAGGTGAATATCAACGAGACCTATTTCAACTGACAGCTGTGTAGAGGCATGCAGTTTATACATATAGTCCAGTCATACCTGGGTCAATCCTGGAATTTCAGTCTAATGAAGTTAGATATTTTAACATTCTGTAAATCAGGAAGTCCTTTTTTTTTATAGTACGGTACAAGTACAATGACAAAAACAGATTTTTCAGTATTTTAAAGGGCACTGACTTTCATGTAAAACTGAATTCTTATACTTGGCTGTAGAAGTGTCAGAGAACCCATTTTCCAGTGTTTCAGCAACATCGCGTTTTCCTAAAGATGTGATTAGAAATGAAAATAATTCAGATCACATCTGTATGCATTTCAGAGAAAGGCCTGACTTTATAAAATAGGTCGGATTGACAGAGATATCTGTAATTATATATTCCTGGACTGTTTGGAAATTGTTATAATTGATTGTAATGTGGGACAATGTCCTGTAGGTGGCAGTGCAGTCCCTCTGGAATATGAGGCTGGCGGTGTTTGTGAAGCCAGAGCACGAGAGTCGCATCAGCCATGTGAACACAGCCAGCGTGAAGACTGGCTTAGGGAACACTTTGGGTAAGCCAACCTGCATGATCTCACTGCCACCAGCACTCAATGCAAATAAAGAACATGCACAACATCTTGGCTGACAGCCCACAAGATCAATACATGATTAAAGACAACAAAAAATCTTTTGTTAATCTGGAGGTTTAAGGTTGATTTGTTCCTTTTGTTTCAGGAAACAAGGGAGCAGTTGGGATTTCCTTTCTCTTCAATGGGACGTCTTTTGGGTTTGTTAACTGTCACCTGACCTCTGGAAGTGAGAAAGTCCTCAGGTGAATTGTGTGTATTTATGTATGAAGTGTGTGTGCTCCTGTCTCTTCTATGCTCTTTTAAAAGTGTATGTCTGTCTTGCAATGTATTCAACATCCAGAAGGAACCAGAATTTTGTAGACATCCTCAGACTGCTCTCTCTGGGGGACAAACAGCTCGGAGCTTTTGACATCAGCCTGCGTTTCACTCATCTTTTCTGGTGTGGAGACCTCAACTACAGGCTTGACTTGGACGTACAGGTCAGACCGACAGCTTTCATTTCCGTGTCATTTGTTGTTCTTGAGAAATCCAAGACAATGATGTTACTGCTTCTTTCTGGGGCGTACTGACTCCAGGACATCCTGAAACATGTATCCAAAAGGGAGTTTGAAGAGCTTATGTGTGCTGACCAACTGACACGAGAGAGACACAAGAGGAAGGCCTTTCTCAATTTCAGTGAGTTTCAGTTTTACTTCTTTTTTTTTTTTATATTGACAGCTCTCATTACTGTATCACACAGTTCCTCTATAAAAACTAAAAAGCTATTTTACAAAATACATGATAAATAAGAGTACTATTTCATTTCAATTCGGCTCTACATTTGCTTATCTTACTCTGTTGTCGTTCTCTGTTTTTCACGGTTAAGAGGAAGAGAAGATTGCATTTCCACCCACCTATCGGTATGAACGAGGCTCCAGAGACTGCTACCTGTGGCAAAAGTACAAGACCTCGGGAGTGAGTCATTTCTTGTTACTCAAAAATGTGTCAAAGAAAGACAATGGTGTACCGAAATAAATTCTTTCAGGCACAGGACAGAGGATGCATGCCCAAAATAAAAACAATATCTACATAAAAGTAGTTTCCAGCAATTGTGGGAAATGCTCAAGAATTACTTTGAGTCCATCAAGGATTTTATCCACACTAGTGGCATGACTCCAGGGCTTTCAGCGTCATTTGAGGTGGTACAGTCTGAAATCTTTTACATGACGATTTCTTTCTGTCTTACTGTGTATTGTAATAATTTTTTAATGACATTTTCTGGTTTGTTTTTGTCATACTTACCATCCATAGGTATTTAAGACACTACGGTACCTTTTCAAAAGTAGGTTTAACCTTTTCTGGCTTTTCAGTGTTGAATCATGGTCAATTTAAATGCTTTTTTTTTTTCCCCAAAAAGACAATTTCATGTTTACTTTATACACAGTAATGTCAAACAATTAAGAATAGAACTTCTAAAATCAATGATTGGATTAGTGTCCACCCCCTTAAAAGTGACCCACCCCCTTAAACGTCACCCAATAATGAAATGGGGATTTTCTGAGTGCAGTAAATGTGTCCCAAGTGATTGTAGTAGAAAGACACCTGTATCTGAAAGGTCCAGTCACTGGTGAATCAGTTCTCGCAGCTCTCGCTACACCTTGAACATAAAAGAACACTCTAAGCAACTCTGTGAAAGGGCCATTGAAAGCTCTAAGTCAGGAGATGGACACAAGAACTTTTCCAAGTCACTGAATGTCTCTTGGAGTACAGTGGAAGGAATATATGCGTAAATCTGCCTGGAACAGGCCGTCTTTAAAAACTGAGTGACTGCACAAGAAAGAGACTAGTGAGGAAGGCCACCAAGACACCTATGACTCCTCTGAAGGAGATACAAGCCTTAGTCAGTGAGATGAGAAGGATTGTGCATACAACAAAGAAAGCCACTTAAAGCTCATAAAAATCTCAACGAGATTTTGCCAGAAGGCACGAGAGAGACTTTTAAATTAACTGGAAGAAGAGGTTCTGTCGGCCATCACAACTAGACGGTATGTTTGGTGCATACCAAACATTGCACATCATCACAAACACACAAATCTTATCAGTAAAGCATGGCGGTGGCATCATCATGATGTTTCTTGGCTGCAGGCCCTGGAAGGCTTGTGAAGGTAGAGGGTGAAATGGAAGCAGCAAAGTATGAGGAAATCTTTCATTATAATTTGATGCAGTCAGCAAGAGAACTGCAGCTTGGGAGACGATTTGTTTTCCAGCAAGACAATGACCCAAAGCATACAGCCAAAGCCACAGAGAAATAATTTAAAGACAACAAGAACGATGTTATGAAGTGGCCAAGTCAGAGCCCAGATCTCAATCCAATTGAGAATTTGGGGCTGAAGTTGAAAGGGGCTGTTCAGTCATGATCATGCACCTTGGCAGAGCTTAAGTAATTTTGCGCAGAAAATGGTGTTTAATTTGTCCAGATGCACAAAGTTAATTAAGACTTATGCACTCAATGCTGTAATTGCAGCCAAAGGTGCATCTACTAAGTGCTGACTTAAGGCTATACTTATACATGTGTATTTTACATGTTATATTTAAATTTACTTGACATTGCTTTGTAGAATTCTTTTTTTCTCACTTCAAAAGACTTTCATCTTTTGTGTAAATTCTTGTCAAAATGCCAAATTGTATTGATCATGATTCAATGATGAAAAGCAGTAAAAAACTTTGAAGCGGGTCAATACTGTTTTATAGGCATTGTATATATATAATACATGTGTACAACTACAAAGAAAATACCCTAGGAGCATTCTAAGTATACACTACTTAAGATAATTTGTTTGTAACCTAATCCTATTTAAGGGGTCTGTACAGATAGGCGACTTTGGGAGCAGCTGCGCTGGTCACTAAAAATAGAAGGTTAGGAGTTAACCTCCTGTCTAAATCAGGAATGTCTGGCATAGCGGGAATGACGCTATGCCTATATATATGACGCTATGTACTATATCTATATCTGGCAATTTAATTTTGCTAACATACAAATATACAATACATTGCTGATTATAGTATAGCTAAATCTGTTTTGTAGGTGCGAGTCAATGTTCCATCATGGTGTGACAGGATTCTGTGGAAGTCCTACCCAGAGACACACATCATCTGCACTGCATATGGTAAGAGGTGGAGATTTTAAAAAAAGCTTTGACGAGAAAAATAAACTTAAATAAAGCGTATACAACATGTCTGAGAGCAGTAAAGACAGGGCAGTGGTTGAGTTGCAGATTTTTTGCAGCTCTCTCAACTTAGATATCTGTGGTCATTTTTTTTCTTTCGTACCACTGTGAAATGAGAGCAACTGTGAGAATGAGTAACGGTCAACCCTACATCCTGGCCTGTGGCACATAAAGAAACAGAGTCATTTCCTCTAATTCAGCCTGAGCTTCTGTTTCTGACTATGCTCAGCTAACTATGAAAAAAACATCACAATTACCAGGTAGTAGCAGAACAATTCTGTGCCTCATAAGTAATGTTTTGACACATCTGTGGAAATATTGCTCGACAGCTCATGTGCCTTACAGTGCTGTTACATCATTTTAGCCACAATCCATAGAGGATACAGATGGTGACAAATTAAAGGAAAAACCTGAACCCTTGAAGGATCACATTTATCCTATGTTAAAACAGCTCTATGATGCTATGCACATACTATGGCCTTCATAGTCACCAGCTCTCTGTTTGGACTGGCGTGTTTGACAGCGCTCTCCACCACCATCAATAAAACACACAATGATGTTGTTCTAGTAGAGTTCCAGAGACATAAAGAATGAATGCCAAGGTGCATTGAAGCTGTTGAGAGCACATGATGGCTCAACATCTTACTAAGACACTTCATAATGGTTTGTCTTGTCATTTGTCATCCATCTGTATGTAGTGTTGTTTTTGAAATTCTAATAAGTAAGTATTGTAATGGTTTATCTTCAACCAGGTTGCACAGATGACATCTTCACAAGTGATCACTCACCTGTTTTTGCCACATTCCAAGTGGGAGTGACATCACCTCCCGGCTCCAAAACAGGTGCTGTCATTGTTGTGGCCCTTCGGACACAAACAGATGGAATATACCTGAGTTTTTTCTTAAGTGAACACGATTGTTTTTTAATTTAAACAGAATCAAATTCCAGCACAGAGAGGGCCTGGATTGAGCTTGAAGGCATTGAAGCCATTGTGAAAACGGCAAGCAAGGCAAAGTTCTTCATTGAATTTCATTCCACGTGCCTCGAAGGTAGGATGACATATCAGAAATATGTTTTTTGAAAGCGTTTTGCAGGACAGTAGCAAAAATTCCTTCATGTCTTTTTGTGCAGAGACGCGACGCTCCAGCGAGAATGACTCACAGAGCTGTGATGTTCCAGGTTTTCTCAAACTGGGCTGGTCATTCAAACAACTGCCAAAGGTCAGAGGCTCAGTCCATCTGGAAACGGTTTAAAGTGTTGTTTGTTATTTAAGTCTTTTTGCTAACTCGTGGTTTGTTTATGTCTGTCGTAGCTCCTTCCAATAATGTCTGACATGGAGTACCTTAAGGATCAACACCTGCTGTTGTCTGTGAAGTCATGTGACGGGTTTGAGTCATACGGTTGGTCACAGGGCACATTCATTTTGTCTAATTTACTAGTACATTTAAAACTTCTGTGAATTTTGCTGATGTTGCTAATCAGTACCTTGAAAGACACAGTTCACCCGTGTTGTTGTGATTTAAATTTACTGTAATCACTGTAATCAGGACATAATGGTGGTGGTGTAATGTAACTGAGCACATTTACTCAAGTGCTGTACTGATCTAAGGTGCCTGTACTCTTGTCTTTTCTTTTCATGCCCCTATTACACCTGTTACAGTACATCTTAGAGAGAAACATTTTAATTCACAAAATGTATCTAATTACTAGTGACTTTAAAAATTAAGATTTCTGCACAGAAAACACGTGAAGCACGAATAAATTACAATGTTTTGGACTGATTTAAACTACCCAACAGTTAATACAAGTACAACTGTAATGATTAGTAATTGAATCAGCTGATTGACAGAATATTGGCAACTCTTCTTATATTTTAGACCACCTGTGATGGCATTTTTCACTGCTTTCAGAATTTTTACTAATCAAACGCTCTGTCAAATAATGAAGAAGATTATCAGCAAATCAATCCATAATGAAAATCATTCTTGGTTGCAGTTGGATATAAAATAGTTCAACATGCGCTCCACCTCAGTCAACTACAACAGCAAAATCCTGCTTTTACTTTAATGAATGAGTAATAATAATCCAATGATATAAGATAAAACAGTCACATTTTCCTGTCTTGGCTTCTTTTACTTTTGATACATTTTTGTGATAATATTTACACTCTTATAAGTACTTAAGTACATTTTCACTTCAGGACTTTCACCTGTAACAGAAATATTTTAACCATATGGTATTGGTACTTTTACACAAGTAAAGGAAGCGAATACATCCTCCACCACTCCACTGCATAATGGCATCGCTTTCATGCTGCTCACAGTGTTAAAATTTTAGATTTAATAAACTTTGCAGCTTTGCGCTATACCTTCAGAAATGATACATGTGCCTTTAAACAGTTTCATTAAGAGCTTGCAGTTCTTTCTACAGAACTGCGCTCCCACTCCAATGCAGAAAGAACGATCTTTATATGGAAATATGCACAGATTTGATATTCACAGTATTCTGAACTGATTGTGGTGAATGTAATTACTTGGCCTTGTATGTGGCCTACATCAAATGTGATACATCAAGTCAGTTTTATTGAATGAAGTGTTCCATTCACCCGATCAGTAATTTATATAAATCTTTGTCACAGGTGAATGCTGTGTGGCTCTGCGCTCACTCACCGGTGCATCAGAGCAGTTTGAGACTTTTTTAAGTCACCGAGGTGAGGAGATGGGCTCCATACGAGGGCGGGTCAGGGTCCATGTGCCTAAAGACAGGCGAGGAACACGGGAGAAGATCTATGGTGGGTCAGCCGAAACTAGCCTTTTCCTAGTTTCTGCCTTGCTTGCACTATCACTTCCTACTAAGCTTTCTTCTCCACTGTCACTACATTCTTGGACTCTTCTCACATTGCTTCCTCTATTTGGTTCTTCAATGACCCCTGGCTTGGCTTTGCGCTTGCTGGTATCTATCGACCGCTTCCTCTTTTGGCTGCTGATTGAATGACCAGATGCATCCTGAGACACTGAAACAAGACAGATGGGTATTATGCCACCAGGTCAGGCACAACACACACACACGCACACACACACACGCACAGATTATGCTGTGAGACTGGCAATAGCCTTTGGCCTACATAAAGCACATCAACTTTGAAGAAGTCTTGCTTCTTACAAAATGAGTTGTTTATTTCCTGTAATTTGACTTTTTCCAGAGTGGTTCTGTTTTGAGAAAGACGATAAAGGTCCTGGGAGGGGACACATGTCTCCTGCAACGACACGTATCCCAATGACCAGGTGAGGACCTCTAAATGTTTTCGAGCATCCGTGTAAACCAGCAGAAAGCCTCCAGTTCTGAGTGAAGAGTTCTCGAGGGCTCATTGAAAAAATATCACCCAGTCCCAGCTATCTTCTTTTCATTGAGTAATATTTTGTTTAGGAGGTTTACAAATCAGGATATTTTTTCTATATTATGACGCTTAAAGTTGGATTCAATTTCCACTGCATACTATTTCAAGAAAATTAGGATTTTTCTTCAGAAGTTTGTTCCTAGTCTCATTGGCCATGAGCAGGGGAAATGTGTTACAGTGTATTGAAAAACTGTGAATCATCTCTTCATGCTATTGTTCTGTTTTTTGATAAAAACAGTAAGAATGTGAAGCATCTGTTTCAACACTTGAATCTCTCACTATCACTGGCCACTAATCAAAAAAACATGGCAAATTTCCTGAAAAAGTTTGGCGCAGTGCACTGGCAGCAACACTGATCAGTCAAATTCATTTGTTCACACTTTCCTTGTACAATGCAATGTTAAATGTATACCATATTTTTTACAGTTTTCCTTGGTATTGTTGATTGGCACTGATGCAGATTAATGCTTTTCTACCAAGAATTTCAAGAGCTTTATCAGTCCCACATTGTGCCACTTTTCAGCGTATTAATGGAAGTCATATAGGTCCCCAGTGTGTGTCTTTCAATTTTTCCGCTCAAAATGCTGCAAAAATGTTTACATTGTCCGTCTCTGTATAGCTCCTGGTTTGAACACTGTCCAAAACAGGCCATTTCACTGTCTGTAGCTCAAGTGCTGCTGAGCTGCTGCTGTCATCGTCTGGACGGCAGCTAATTGACGGGAATGAGAGTGTGTGAGATCAGGACTTTATATTGCTTCTAATTCTCCTATTGAACATTTTTTTCATATGGAAATATTGCCAGATTCATCGCACAATTGTTGTTTTCAACTCATGTGTAAGTTTGGTTTGTCAAACAATGTAACGGTTTAAAAAGTATTGTTATCAGTGCATGGCAATGAAACGACTGAGACATATTAGAGTTAGCAGAAGCAGCAGCTGCAGAAAGCAAACAAACCAGATGGGCTGTGAGGCAGCTGCTCTTTCTGAGTGGCATACAAAATGCAAAAACAGTGGATTTTCACATCATGTGATCTTTAATGTCATGTCACAAACTACAAGAAACTGTTGTGCAGTGTTTGCCATTGCATAGGCCTTCAGACTAGACTAGTGGATTGTGTTTTATTTTTTCATCAGTATCTGTAACGACAAGTCCACATCAATGTAGCCTTGTGTTTTTAGGACAAGGACACTTTGGTTTATACACTTATAATGCTACAATGCTACTGCTAAGGAACACTTTTTAAATACATTTTAAGAATTTCTTGTGAAGAAAGTGAGTGAGAATTAAAGACACATTTTGCAAAACTGATCTTTAGTTAAGCTGTCTGACTTCAAGACTTGTATGTTCATTGCAGGTCCACCGCAGTCCCTCTCAAACTCACTCCAAGCAGCTACACCAACCCTGCTTACTTCATCTTTGAAGGTGTGTCCGTGGCACGTAGGACGGAGGAGGCTCTCCCCCAGCGAAGAGACCCTCAGGTGATCTGGTCTGGAAATGAGGCCTTGCAGCTCCCAAAAGTCTCAGGGCGTCAGGGCTTTGACAGAAGACCGTGTAGAAGGTCAGACTTTACAGAGATTGAAATTCCAGCCATCCTGCCTCATTGCACTCCAACTAATGACCTCCATACATCCCAAACCAACTCCTCCTATCAGCTTTTCCCAGCCCAAAACCCATCCCCCATACCGCCACCCTCAAGTAATGCCATCACACAGTACCAGGAACAGACTGCACAACCTCGAGATAAATACCAGAGTAAAAATATTGGTAAGGACTCCATAAAGCCTGAGGGCAATGTAAGGAACTTGTATATGAATCACTCAGCAATCATCAGGGAAAAAGCCAGATGTGGACGACATCATCTTCCTCCAGAAAGGAGTAATCCTATTCAAGCAGCCAAGTCACCATCAGCTTTCCCCTACACTCCCACTCGCTTAGCACATTGTCAGAGCTCTGCTTCGTGGTTGGTGGATCAGCAGCCTCCTGGGCCTACAGGAGACAACTCACTCACTGCTTTGCAAATGGCCAAGTCTCTCAGCGAAGTAGACTTCTTCCCCACAGAGCAGAGAGGTCCTTCCATACGCAACAAGAGGCCGAATTACAGAAATGGCCCTTCCATACATGGAGATAGAGGCTACAGCTGGGAGAAAGAGGTACGACGTCGCTCTTGGAGACAAATGTTAAAAGATGTTCTGCTTGGTTCCATCTAAAAATTCTGTCTACTTTACCTCAATGTAGGTCTCTGTCCTCAAAGGTGCACCAGAGACCGTGCGGGAGCTGCTTAGTGCCCTGGGCCTTCAAAAATACACCTTGGGACTGAGCCTCAATGGCTGGGATGACCTGGATTATTTCAGGTAAAATTAATTTGGCTCAATATTCGTGTATGTCATTTTATAGACGAGCACAAAAAACGTGACTTTTTTTTTTCTGTTATTAGAGCCAGAAAACCTAAATTTGAACAAAGCTGAAGATGCTAATATAGACTTGTATTTGGACACTCCACAGCTAAGTGTTACAGACTGCAGTGCTAATACAAACACCAGTAAGGAAATAGGGGGGGGAAAGCACATGTAGGGGAAATGTTGCCTATGTTAGTCATTTCAATTTGAGTGAGCTTTCTGGTAGCCAACATTAAGCAATCATTACAGGAACAGCAGCCTACGGGAATTCATGCACTGACTCTAACACTGAGACATTGTGGTTGCTGCTAGGTAGTTTATATGCCACCTTAATGCAAACTCTATTATTTGGACTGTTAAATGTAGCATCGAAACTGTTGACCACCAAAACATTGTGCAATTTTTTTTACACTACTGACTGTCCTCTTCTTCTTTTTTGTTCAAAGCAGCACTTGTTTTCTTCTTTACTCTGTGGTGAGCTTGTGTGTTTGAAATGAAAGTATAGGGCACATGATACAAGTTTTGGGTCTTAATGTGCACTTGCTTGCAGCAATGACTTTGGTGTTCACAAGCCAGTTGCAATAATCAGCAGAAGGTCTAATCAGATTACTCCTATGCATGTGACAGTCATGCTTATCCTTTGTAAGATGAGTATTGCTGTCAGGTTAGCAGCTAGAACCTCAGGACAGTTATCCATGCTAAAATAAATCCAATCACAAGTCAGCAGAGTTACTTCCAGAGTCCCTCTTTGTGTTACCCAACACAGCATCTACTTCTTAAGCTGCATGAGAGCAATAGTATCACAAAGAGGGAATTTGGTGCTAAGAGGACTCTGGACGATACCTTTTGATATGACTCACTCAGACTCAATAGCCAGGTTGGTTGACGCACTGGCGCACCAGCATCCCCCCCATGTTTCATCTAGAATCAGAAAGGTAGTGTATGTAAAAAAAATTTAAAAAATAAAAAAGGACATACACCCACAACAGTTAGCCCACGCTAACATCAAAAAGTACACTGAATGGCCATAACAACTTCTTGTTGCCTCGAATTTATTTTTACTTGACCTGCCTCTCCTTCGCTGTGCTGCATCTACTCCACTCCACTCCATGTTTGTCTGTTTCAACCAGCTGACACGCAAGTAAACACACATACAAAAACTGTTGTGGTAAATTGTCGGTTTAGAGCAGAACAACAAAGAGTGGAAGCAGAGGTATGCAGACTCTTATGCTGAGCTGGGGTCAAACAAGTGCACATAAAATAAGCAAATACCACACACACACATAGATATGTATGTATGTAGTTTTTTGGGGACACTGACTGAACGCTCTGGCCTGGACGTTCAATTTAACCATACGGTGTGAGAGATCACTTTCAGTCTGTTTATAAAGGCGGGGGGGTCAGCAGTTTCAAAGAGAGGGACTAACATGCACTTACAGCCGACTCCCAAAGCATAGAACAGAGACGCTCAGATTACAACACACAAACAGAGAAAGTGTGGTTTCATTGTTTAGACGCCGTTACTCTTCTGTATCTCTACATGGCAGATTATTTGCTGCTGTATTTATGAGCAAAATCTCACACAGAGAACCTTGAACTGAAGATAAAGTTTGGACTACATAGAACACAGGCCGCCAGTGGAAGCACATCTTTTCATGGCTGGTTGAAAAGGAGGAATGCTTATAGGACTAAAAAAAATCTTTCAGTGTATGGGCACATGAATAAGGTTTTATGACGGACTCGAAAATGTGAGATGGTTTCTTTGAGGTAAAGTACAAACGAAAAAAAATGGTGTATTATCCCTAATGTTAAGCTGTGTATGCTATATGACTTCTTGCAGCTGTATAGAGACATTGACACCACATGCATTTGCACAAATCTATCAGACTGTATGACTATGTTTGACTCATGTCAGCATTTTTAGTCCAGCCAGATTCAAAACTCTTTGTCTTCCACAGCGGCATCACTGAGGAGGACCTATGTGCCGCAGGAGTAACAAACCCTTCACACCGACGCAGGATCCTCGAGAACCTGCCAAGGAATTGGAACTGACACAGAGAGCTGAAAAGCAATGGTGGCACAAAGCCCTGTAATCTGCTCTATTAGAACTGGAAGAACTGTTAGAACTGAAAGGGAAGACAGGCCGATTGAATTATTAGTCACATCAGCTGGACATTTCCACAGCCCTGCCTTTTTCATTTACTCGATCAATACTGTAGCAATAGTTTGTCTTTGTCAACGTGGCAAAGGGAACAGAATGCAGGAGGTACTCATTGCAAATTCTGCATTATTCACCCATCCATCTTGAGAGATAATGAAAGAGGTGGATAAAATGAATAGAAAGCCTTGATATCCATCTGACATGTACACAAATATTGATTAAGGTATCAAGGTCTCATTGATTTTGTTTTCAGTGATTTAAAAAAAAAAAAAAAAAAAGACTATAAAAATATAGTCCTTCAATTTCCAGTGTTCACTCAGTGCTAGTGTTTGCCGTCCACTTTCAACCCTTCTACTGTGTGCTTCCATTACACTGCACCTATTGAGCCTGGACCTGAGCTTGTAAAAGCCCTCTATTAAACCTATAGAGCATAAAATCCATCCATATCTACTGGAAGATTGTCTGGAAAGCTGGTATAGAACGGCCTGCCATATGTCATTTTGTTTACTGTCTACTGTTACTATCATGTCACTTAATCAGTACCTATGTCCACTGTGCATGTTTTATGCAACGTTTATAAAGTGCATAAAGCAACTCTTGACTGTCGCTGAGCAATCCTGAGTGTTATTTCATGCTGCTGAGGAGTGGCGAAGCAGAAATCTCACCTTTTCTTTTCTTTCTTCCTCTTTACTGCGCTGATCACATCTTCAAACTGTTTCTGCTCATATGTTGTTTGATGCAGCCTACTTCATCGTCCAGCACTGCAGTGCATATTAGCAATAGTTGTGAAGGCAACATAACTCTCTTTGATGACTAAACCGGCTATACAACACAATTTAATAGGCTTTATCAGAAGAAAATAATTTGTGCAGCAGTTCTGATCTTCCATAGTGTCTTCAGATCTGCTGGTTTAAAGCAGTCCAAATAGATTATGCTTCTCTAGATGTGGAAGTGCGTACTGTGAATTACCAGCAAACGTTAGCAAAGCATTTAGGACGGCTGATGTCTGACTTCTGTTTATTTCTTTTTGTCATGCAATCTTTTACTTCTTTTTAAGTTAATGTGGTGTACTGAGCTTCCTCTTGAGAAGTGCAAACAAATATTTCCTTCGTCTCGATGACTGACAAAACCTGTCTTCTGCTCGTAAACAAGTTAACTACATCTGTAATATTTGTACACAGAGAAGTCCAGACATGTGAGATTAGTGTTTGCAGGCTCACATGTAATAACAGACTACAGCAGAGAGAGGTGAGACTTCTGTGAATCTGATCCCACAACAACTTTAAAATATTCCGCAGTGTGTGACTGTTTTTTTTTTTTTTTTGCTTGTAGCATTGAGGTAGTTACTCATTAAAGTATGGCCAAACACATGTCTCCTGACAACCGGTATGTGTCAGTGACCACAAAGTCACTGCCTCAGTAACTGTAGTGACCTCATCACCTGTGCGAATGCTGGGAAGTTTTGGCCACTTACAAATCCAAGGGAAGAGCTTGAATCATGACAGACCTCATTAATTGGCAACAGGTTCTAGTAGAAAACAGTTTATTAAAAGACAGGGGTAATGTATGGATTAGATTTTTTGCTGATTTTCATAAAATCTATACCACTTTGGTGTCTGTGCCATAGAAATGAAACTACCACCAGTTAGCACAACAGCGTGTGTGTTGGTTTCCTGTCGAGATTTTGGAGAGACAACAAGACTCCGGGGAATTAACCACCCAGCCAAGACATAGTCCAGCACATAACCCAGATTCATACAGTACAAAACAACGTGTTGCTTTAATACTGGCTAGATTCAACAAATGAGATTTAACGTGTTTGTTAATGAGCTTTAGAACTGCTGGATTTTGTTACATTTGGACAGAGCAAGACTGTTTGTTTTCCCCTTTTCAGTCGTTATGCTAAGATGATTGCTATGTAAACAATATCATTCTTCTCATCAAACTCCCAGTAAAAAGTGGCCGTGCGTACTTCTTAAATGTCAGACTATGCCTTTAAGAATTTACAAATGTGTCAATAGTCTGATATAATACAACAGTAGTTGTTTGTGTGTATGTTTACTAGCAGTTCGTCAGTGGTGCTGTAAATCCATCCTCCCTACGCTCTCGATGGCTTTCTGATGAAGAACATGCCTTGTCAGTGGCCCACTCACATTCCAGACAACTAAACCGCAGAAACTCACACAGTACACAAACACAAAAACTCGCACTGGTACCACGGCTGACCTGTTCACACAGAGAAACACATTACCACAAAGCTGACCCATGCGCACACAAAAACAATGCTTCTTTGAGAGAAGAGGTTCAACTTCTTAAGTAGGAATTTGTTTTTACCTCAAGTCCTTCTCGTGCTTAATTTTATTTATCATATCAGGATTTAGACTTTTTTTTATCATATCCATTTTAAAAATATATATGAAAGATGTATGTGCTATTGAACCTTCTCCTATAAGCGCATGGATAACTGTCTGACTCTGTCTTTCGTCACAGCAGTACTGGCCACAGTGGAAAACCAGAAAACTTTACAAGGAGACGTGCTCTTAGCATATAGACTGAGTCATACAAGTGTTCTGTCGTCGACCATGTAGTCTGTCTTTGAGTAATTGGGGTGAATATGATCTTGTTTCCTGCTGAGTTGCTCAATCTGTGGTTGTTAGTAACTTATTAAGTAAAGCCTCATCACACTTTTATTGTCGGTCACCAACAAGAGTGTTGCACTTTCTATGTGCTTTTTATTCCTTTATGATCACACGGTATAATTCCACACCTTCACATGTTAACCTTTTAGAAAAGCCTGAGATGACAAAGATTACAGAGGAGACAAATCAGCTGATCCCGCCGTACTCCAGAGAGCAAATATTGTCCAATACAACTGCTATACGCACAGCTATTTAGGCTGCTGTACTGCTGGGTGGATATTAACTTCTATAACACCAAAGACTAAAATACCAAAGGTGTAGTTTATTTATTTATTTTACCTTGCTAACATTTCTACATTGTGTTTTACACACACAAGATGCATCAAGAGTGAAATAAACAGTCAACAGTATGGGTGAGTATCTCCATCTGTAAAGCTGCGATGTTGTAATGACAGTCTCAAAAACACAGATTCAGACTTCTGGAGTTTCATATGAAATCTGTCAACTTGTGGCGTTGGGCTTCCTGTATCGTTATTATTATTCTTCAGAATCAGTTTCTGGTTCAATCATGTATGGCTTTCCAGATCTGCACGCGATAGTGTAGAGTTACATCCAAGTCCGAAATGATCATCTTCATGGAACAAAAAATTTAAAAAAGTTTAAATCTGTAACTTTAATAAACAGAGATGAGTTTTAGGAGGGAAAGAAAACCAGCAGTGTAACAGTGCAGGAATATTCCATTTTAAAAAAAGTCCTGCAAGATTCAGTCTTCAAAATTAGCAGAAAAATGTCCTGAAATATCAAATGTGAAAGTACTGCTGGGTAACAAGTGGTCAGTTGCTGGTTCAGTGCAGGGTGATAACATCTAAATGGTACTTTAATGTTGTGGCTCCACACAGTGCTGAGTCGAACTACTTTACACACAGTGTTGTTGTGTAAGGTGCTCTATAATCATAAATGAGCTCACCAGTTATTAAACAAGACTTGCTTTAGTTCAGTTTTATTTATATAGCTCCAAATCCCCCCTACAGGTAATCTCAAGACACTTTACATAGTCAAGTGAAAACCTTACAAAACTATAGAGAAAAACCCAACAAATCCAAAGATTCCCTTTGAACAGCTCTTTAGGGACAATGGAGAGGAAAAACCTTCTCTTTAGCAAAAAGAAATGTCCTGCAGAACCAGTTTCAGGGAGAGCAAACATCTACATTTGCACCGACCAGTCGGGGTGAGCTGAAAGCAGGTAGAAAGACAAACAATGCATACGAAAACAATGGAGCAAAAATAACAAAAAACAAAACAAACAAAAAACCCCCAACAAAACTAAACAGTAATGGGAGTAATATTTGCCCCTCAAATGTTCTGGAAATACCAATAAGTCATGTACCCCAAGTTCGACTACACTTACTTTTCACTTCCGTAGCTATACCTGCATAAACATGCTTTCCTTTATTTTACAATTTGTCCAAAAACTCTAAAATAGAGCATAGCCTTTAATTATTAGAGCAGTAACTTGCTTGGATCCAGAACAGTGACATTTATAAAAAAAATTTGCGTGGCTCTCCTCTGGACGTCGCCTTCACAGCCCAGGCTGCCGGACTCAAAGAAGGAGGGCAACTTTTGTTCCCACAGCTGTCCTCCTTCTAAATGCACAACCATCTTTGACCTGCTGACTCCCTGCCAATGCCCATGTAATATAATGTAATATTTAT